TCGCCTGCAACCCCCTCGTTACCCATGCAAGTTCGATCCTCTTCAACCCGCCGCCGCCCACCCCCACTTTGTCGCATGTAGGAAGTTCTTATTGAGGCGGGCCCTGTCTTCCAGGCGATCCTGCCTGACGCGATTGTGGTGATGCGGCCAAAAGTACAAATCAAACGGCGAGGACGTGGGCCCCTTGCCCCGACTTCCGATGTCGCCCTATGCGCTCACAACGCCGGGCCTCCAAAGTCCGGAGACCTCCCCGAGATCAGTCCCCCGTCTTGAGTCGAGTTTTCGCAGATGTGGGAGCCGTCGAGGCTCCCCGGGAGCCCGTAGTCATTAGAAACCTCCCGTCGTTATAATCACGAGGCGAGAATGCGTGGGGGGGGGGAGGAGGAGGATGGGGAGGCCCGCCTCCCCACCCCGCAGGCCGTGGCTGCTGGAGGACTGCGAGGCGCTGTGCGCGCTCGGCAGCTGGGCGCTGGCGCGCGCCTTCGAGCTCGATGGGGGATGCCCGTGAGGGCCGGGGCCCACCCAGGCGACCCGGACGGGGGGCCGCCGTGCGTGAAGGGGACAGTTGGCCCCCAGCGGCATCTGCGGCGCTCCTGGCGGTCGCCGCGAGGAGGAGAAGAAACAGCCAAATGCGTGACGGCCGTTCTCGCCCAATGCTGTCCCAGTCAGAGATGCAAGGGCCAATTGTGCCAGAAGTTATTGCTTGATGCCCACTCGATTGGACAGCAGAAGCTGTCCCGGAGGCGCATGGGATTCCTCGTGGTGAGTCTCTCAGGGGCCTCCTGGAAGCAGATCCGAAGCCTCTTGTGACCCGTGTGTGTGTGTGTGTGTGTGTGTGTGTGTGTGTGTGTGTGTGTGTGTGTGTGTGTGTGTGTGCGCCTGTTCGAAGTTGGTTTGGGGCATCTTGGGGGTTTTTTGGGGGCTTCCTGGCGGCTTCTTGGGGGTCTCTTGGAGTGTCCTGGGCGCCTCCTGGGGGCCGCTTGGGACCTCCTGGGAGCCTCTTGGAGCCGAAGGCTCGAGAAGACCGTGGAGATCCCGCGTCGGGGCCCCTTCTTGGAGCCGTCTTGGGGCCGTCTTGGGCCGTCATGGGGGCCTCGTGGGCCGTCTTGGGGCCGTCTTGGGCCGTCTTGGGGCCGTCTTGGGGCCGTCTTGGGGCCATCTCAGGCCTTCTTGGGGCGGTCTTGGGGGCCTCTTGGGCGGTCATGGAGCGTCCGATCTCCGAAGAGGCGAGAGCCCAAAAAACCTTCAAAAACCATGGAGAATCAATGTTTTTTGCCTCTTGGGACCCTCTTGGGAAGGCTTCTTGGAGACCGCTAGCCGCGTTTTGGAGGCCACTGAAGCCGTCTTGGGATCATCGCGGGCGTCTTGGAGCGATCTTTGGGCGTCTCGGGGCCCTCTGGGACCACTTGGGGGCCTCCTCGGCCTTCTTGGGGCCGTCTCGGAGCCCCTGGGGGCGCCGCCAGGGGAGGGGCCCACGCATATACAAGGGAGGTTCCGGCCCGGGGCGCGGGGGCCAGGATCTCCCATATGTGTGTGTATATATATATATATATATATATATATATATATATATATATAGCGGCGGGATGGGCTGAGGGCCGGAAGGATCGTCGCCCCGGGAGCTCGCGGAAATTCCGCCCGCGCGGCGCCTCCAACGGATTCTGGGCGGCCTTCCAGCCAGCCGGCCAGACTGTAGACGCACGCGCGCACCTCGCGCTCAAATGCCCAGATTGGCCAAGATGGCTTCAAAAACGGCCGCGCCCCCCCCGCGAGGGCCCAAAGTTTCGCTTCGAACGCGCGCGCAGGGGCCCCGAGCAACCCCATGGCCGTTTCAAAACTACCCAACCCGACCCCTTCAAAAACATCGAGTTTGCCCAAGAATCCCGATGGGCAGCGCCATGTGCGCTCCTTATGTTATTCGGCGGTTTTCGCGCGTTCACCCGCCCCGTCGCCCCGAGACGGCCAGCGAGGCTGTCGACCGCCCAGCGGGCCCCCCAGATGGCCCAGGAAAACCGCACAAGGGCCCCGGGGAGCGCCGAGTCGATTCCGAGACCGCTGCCCAGATGCACCCACCCAAGCAGCCTTCCCATGCGCTGGGTGGCCCGACAGCGCCATCCCGCCAGACGGCTCAAAACAATCCCGGCGCGGCCCACAAGATCGCCGAAAGTTCCCTTGAAGGCCCGCCGAAAGCCCCTCCGCAGCATTCCCCGGGCGGCGCCCGCGCCGGCATGGGGGCGACCCCCAAGCCGCAGCTCCTACCCCGCTGGAATCCCGCTCGGCCCCTTCGCCCCGCCGAAGCTCTGAAAATCTCCCGGGGCCTCGCGCCGCCTCCGACGCCAATGCAGAACCCCCCTGCCCCTCCCCGCGTCTCCGAGCCTGCGCGGGGCAATGCGGCGACTCTCGGTTCCCAGCCGTTCTACGCCACGAAGCAAGAACCACCGCAAGTCCGATCACGCGCGACCCCCCCGGGAAACGTGTCTGAGCGAGCGAAAGTGCCCAGCGATTGCCGCGCAAAACCAGCCCGCTTACAACGCGAACCGATTTTGACACATGTTCGCCCCCCTACCAATGCTGATTGGAGAAAATCGCCGTCCGTGCCCCTCCAAAGCCCGCCGCTTCCTGCGCGTTCGGGCGCGGCCCCGGCGCTCCGGCACCCTCCGGCAACTTCGGGAAAGCTCCCAAGCCAAACCCCCGATGCACCTTCAAAGCCCTGCTCGGCTTTCGACATTCCTCTTGACCTCTGAGTAATCCTCCCCAGCTCGCCCCGTTCCCCCAAACTCACCGAGCGCCTTCCTTGGCCACCTCCGCCCTCGAGAACCCTCCTAGCCCCTTCCGGGCCCTGCCCATTTCCCGAAGCCTTTCAGAAACCACCCAGGGAACTTCCGCCCCGAAGCCCTCCGAAAAGAGCGGCGCATCTCCTTTGCGCTGCCCGCCCCCGATCTACCCCAAGCGGGCGGCGGGGATTGGGGCGGTCACCGCGCTGCGCATCCTTTCGCGGCGCGGCAGCCGGCAGCCTTGCGGGGCGAGCCTCGGGCGTTTTTTTTTCGCCCGAGTCGCAGTTGAGCAGTTTTGGACAGGGCCGCGCAGGCGGGGGGCGCTGCCCCGTGCCCCCCGCGCAGGCCTTAGCTTTAGCGTTGCGGTAGGGCGGCGTGCGCCGGCGGGCCAAGCTCGCAGTATTTGGCAGTTGGCGGCTGGGCCCCCCGCCATGGCCCGCCGCTCGGCTAGCGCATCCCTCTGTTGCTCTTGAAGACGCACGCGCGCAGGGCCGACCTGGCAGCATTCTGCGCCGACGCCGCGATGTTGGTTTCGGCGCGCCCAAACCGAACGACATTCGTATTTACATAAGAGTTCCCTGTCGGACCTAGATCAGACTTGGGTCTCAGGGCCCGAGTTAAGTCAGAGTTCCAGTCAGACCTAAATCAGACTTGGGTATGAGGGCCAGAGTTACATCGGAGTTCCAGTCATACCTAAATCAGAGTTGGCGGTGAGGGCCCGACTTGAATCAGAGTTCCAGCGCAGACATGAATCAGACCATCAGAGTTTTGGGCCTGAGCAGAGAAACGGAGTTTGCCCCCCAAAGACATTCAAATCTAGACCACGCCTCTCGTCAAACCGGCAATGTCTCCGCTGGTATTCGGCCGCAGACAGTCCAGGGCGTTGTGGGCCATCTGACATCCAGCACCTCGGTTGCCTGGTGTTTGTGCGTTTGTGTGTGTGTGTGTGTGTGTGTGTGTGTGTGTGTGTGTGTGTGTGTGGTGCGGGCGTGCGGGCGGCGGGCGCGGCGGGCGCGCGCGCGCGTGCGCGTGTGCGCGTGCGCGTGCGTGTGCGTGTGCGTGTGCGTGTGCGTGTGCGTGTGCGTGTGCGTGTGCGTGTGCGTGTGCGTGTGCGTGTGCGTGTGCGTGTGCGTGTGCGTGTGCGTGTGCGTGTGCGTGTGCGTGTGCGTGTGCGTGTGCGTGTGCGTGTGCGTGTGCGTGTGCGTGTGCGTGTGCGTGTGCGTGTGCGTGTGTGTGTGTGTGTGCGTGTGCGTGTGTGCGTGTGTGTGTGTGTGTGTGTGTGTGTGTGTGTGTGTGCGTGGTTGTGTGTGTTTCTGCGCTCGGGTGTGATCACAGGAGGGTGGAGGCGTGCGCCACTGTTGGAACGTGGTTGAGCGCCAGGCGCACTGTTCCTCTGGTCGTAACTGTTTAGCGCCTCCCTCGAACGGCAGCAGCCGCACTCGTGCAGCCCCCCCAGTCCTTCCAGCCAAGAGGCTGCTGCCCAGAGGCTTGGCCTCCGCAGGGGCACTGCTCGTCCACGCGTGCGTGTGCCACACCGGGGGGCCCCCCCGCACGACACCCCGCGAACGCGAGCACGAACGCACCGGCATCCGCGCAGTCTGCCATGGTGCAGGGTGACGCCAATGCGGCGTATCGCACGTGAGCACGCGGCCGCGCGGCCCGTGGCAGGGGGGGGTAACATCAGGACGGGGAGATGCAGAGCAGGGCGGGGCACGACGTCGTGACAGGGCACGGCCGGGCCAGGCGGGACCGCACGGGAAGGCGACACGATGGGAAGGGGAAAGGGCAGACGGGGGCAACGAGGGGAAGGGCATCACGGGCAGGGAACGGAGGGGAAGGGGAACGGGAGGGGAGAGGAGAGGGACGCCAGAGTTTGGAAGAGAGAACGGAACGCAGAATGGGACGGGAACGGAGGGGCGGGTGGAGGGCAAAGTTGGCCTGTGTGAGGGAATGGCAGGGTGTGGGGGTCGGCCTTGTCTCTGAAACCGTGCAACTCAGTCCGAGGCTTCATAAAAGGAAGGAAGAGGTGGAAAAGGAAACATATTGGGAGGAGCAGGATGTCTTACAAGTTCCTGAGCAGCGCGTTGACGCCAAGAAAGCGCTTTGTGCACCTGCCGAGGCCTTACGGCTTCGGAGTGAACCCGCTGATGGGCATGTCCCCCTTCGGCTGGCCCGGAATTGGCATGCCGCAATCCCGGGTGGGGACGGGAAAAGGGGGAGGAGGAGGCCTTACGGCTTCGGAGTGAACCCGCTGATGGGCATGTCCCCCTTCGGCTGGCCCGGAATTGGCATGCCGCAATCCCGGGTGGGGACGGGAAAAGGGGGAGGAGGAGGAGGAGGAGGGAGGAGGGGGAGGAGGAGGATGGGGAGGAGGAGGAGGAGGAGGAGGAGGAGGAAGTATGAGAGGAGGAGGAGGAGGAGGAGGAGGAGGAGGAGGAGATGAGGAGATGGGGGGAAGGAGAGGAGGAGGATGGGAGGAGTAGGAGGAGAGAGGAGGAGGATGAGGAGGAGGAGGAGGAGGAGAGAGGAGGAGAGGATGAGGAGGGGAGGAGGAGAGGAGGAGGAGGAGGAGTGAGGAGGAGGAGGAGGAGGCGGAGAGGAGGTGGACAGGAGGCGCAGGTAGGAGCGGCAGTCACCAAAAAAGAGGAGGAGGAGGAGTGAGGAGGAGGAGAGGCAGGAGGAGGGGGAGGAGGATGAGGAGTGGAGGAGGAGGAGAGGAGAGGAGGAGAGGAGGATTAGGAGGAGGAGGAGGAGGAGGGAGAGGAGGAGGAGGAGGAGGAGGGGAGGAGGAGGAGGAGGAGGAGAGAGGAGAGAGAGAGGAGGAGGGGGAGGAGAGGAGAGGAGAGGAGGGAGGAGGAGGGGAGGAGGAGGAGGAGAGGAGGAGAGGAGGAGGGTTGGAGAGGAGGAGAGGAGGAGGAGGAGGAGGAGGAGAGGAGGAAGGGAAAGGAGAGGTAGAGGAGGAGTGAAAGGAAGAGGGAAAGGAGGGTGGAAGGAGGAGGGAAGGAGAGGAGTGAAAGGAGGGAGGGAAAGGAGGGGGAAAGGAGGAGGAGGGAAAGGAGGTCGGAAAGATGAGGAAAGGAGGAGGAAAGGAGGAGGGAAGGAGAGGGAAGGAGGAGGGAAAGGAGGAGGGAAAAGAGGAGGGAAAGGAGGGAGGGAAAGAGAGGGAAAGGAGGAGGAAAGGAGGGGAAGGCGGAGGAGAAGGAGGAGGACGAGGAGGGGAAGGAGGAGGAGGAGGAGAAAGCAGGACAGGAGGAGAGGAGGAGGACGGATGACGAGGAGGACAGGGAGGACGAGGAAGAGGAGAGAGGAGGAGAGCAGGAGAAGGAGGAGGAGGAGGAGGGGAGGAGGAGGCGGTGGAGGCGGAGGAGGCGGAGGAGGTGGAGAGGAGGAGGAAGAGGAGGAGGAGGAGGAATATTAATCAAAGATGAGAAACGTGAGGGGGATGAGGAGGATGCGGAGAAGGAGAAGGAGAAGGAGGAGGAGGAGGAGGAGGAGGAAAAGGAGGAGGAGGGAGGAGGAGGATGCCAGTGCAAATGAAAGTCTCATCAACGATGTTGCAATAAACGCTCCCTCCAAGTTCCTTCTGCATAGGCTCCTAAGAGGACTTTATATCATTGCGGAAAAGTCCCGTTGGAAGACCACTGTCTGAAAATCGCCAACCGTATTGAAACACCATTCCTGGGACTTCAACGCCGCGAATCAAGTTGACGGTTGCGACCTGGCGATCCTAAACCGTGCCAGAACACCGTGCTTGCGACGTCAACACCGCGAAACAGCAATGTGATTGTCGCGTCCTGACAACCCTACATCGATTCAAAACACCATTTCTGGGAGGTCAGCCATAGTATTCCTTGCATCTATTGTAACCTGTTAAGACGAATGTGCGCGGCGCTAAAGCGAGAACCACAGTTTGAAACAGAACCGCCCTCCATCCGTGAAGCTCTTGCAGAATTTTACGACGAATGTGCGTGGCGCTAAGGCGAGAGCAACGTTTTGAAAACCACTCGCCGTCCTTCCGTGAAACCCTTTCAAACTTTCAAGGCAGATGTGCGCGAGAACCACCCGCCCTCTACTCGCGAAACTTTCACACATTTTGTGACGAATGTGCGCGGCGCTCAGGCGACAGCCACATTTTGAATTCGACCCGCCCTTCATTTGTGAAACTCTTGCGCATTCCAAGCTTTAGGATGATGAATGGTGAGGAGGTCTCACGCGAAACGCCCGGCCCGCTCTACCGAACCGTCTTTTGCTGCGACAGGGAGGAATTATTCAGGAAGAGAGATGAAGGAGGAGGAGGAAGGATGAGGAGGAGGATGAGGAGGAAGAAGAAGAGGGAAATGAGGAGGCTGTTTTTTGACGTCCACGACGCCGCCTCCAGACCCTGATGATCAGGGCAACCAGCCTGCAGCGGAGGGGGATGCAGGCTGCACCGGCTGGCTAATCCAGACGGCCAACCCTGATTTTGCAACGCCCCTGCTGGCCTACGCCAGCAGGACAGCACACATAAGACAGAACCGCAACTAAAGAAAGTCAGTCGGAGTCGCCTGACTCCCTGGCGCTGTCGCGGGCTGCGAAGGGAAGGACACTATCCTCCGCAGCCCGACCAACAACGCCGACCTGCCTCAGCACTGCCGCTGGCTGAGGCTGCTCAGCAGACGGCATCGCAGTCCAGGCGCAGGGTGAGCGCTTTCCGTGCTGGGCGGCGTCACAAAATGAGACGCCTGCGCTCCAGCCGTCGAGCTGCCGACAGGAGCGGACGCCGCCCGTCCAGGAACCTCCTTCGAGGTGCCTGGCTCGCCGACGCCGTGGCTTCTTCGTCCGCGTCGAGATCATCTCCTTGCCCCCCGCCGCCCTAGCCCACCCCCTTCCCCCGACCAGACAGAGCGGCAGGCAGCGCCGAGTTGGTGCCACAAGGCACAGGGGGCAAAGAGGGTCCCGCGGCCGTGGCCTGTGCATGTAAGCCTCCTTCGCCATGAGGATCAGCAGCGGCCTGACTGAATCAGGCCTTCCGCGCCGACCCTGACACCCGCATTCCGCCGATGGTACTGCGAATGGAGGCCCTTGCGCACGTAGTTCCAGCCATAGTTGTTCGCACGAGAGGGAACGCTCAGACAGTTCACCTCTAGTCCTCTGATCAGGTCCCCGCTTGCGTGACACTTGCATGTCACGCAAATGAAAGCACCGTCCGATCCGAGCAGGGGAAAGCCACTGTGCGGTGATTGAGGGCGTCCTGCCTAGCAGCATGCACAAGCGAGGCGCGGGTGCAAGAGCCTGGAGGTGGCTGGACAATCGAACGACAACCCTTCAAACAGTGAACGACAACCCTTCAAACAGTGAGCAGACTCCCAAGCGTGCCCTCGGGGCGGAAGTCGCTCCTCCCCTTGGGCTGGGATCCGCTCGACGCCAGACATGTCCAGGCTAGGCCAGTGACCAAGCGCATTAGCAGCAACCTGCGAGGTCGCTCTTGCCATTTTTACCAGATGATCGGCGGCCTGCGTCTGGGTCTCATTGTGAGGATGAAGAGAAAACGGCGTGCTTCACACCAACATCTGCGTGGTGGTTCTCTAGGCGGCGCCAGCGCTCCTCAACGCAGATGCCAGGGGCGTCGAGGTCGAGATGAACAGCCGCCTTCGAGCACCCCGAGACCGCCGAAAGCTGACCATGGCACTGAAGAAAGGCACCCGAAGACATGCGCTTCGGGGAAAGCTGAAACACCTTTTCCTTAGCTGCCAACTGAGCGGCATTCGCGCGGTCGGAACGCACGTGGCCTTGGGAGGGATGAGTGGCAAGCACATTCGCCCACGTCAACGCACCAAACTCGGCACTCTGGGGGTCTGTGGGCAGGGCCCCCGAACGGGAGCCCGCAGCTCCGCCACCGGACCCCCTTGAGCATCAACCGTGCGAACAGAACTGCCAGCCGTAGAGAGCTCGCGCACCGCACGTCGCGCGCGCGGCCCGACCACGGGAGGAAGAAAAACGCGACCCGCGCGCGACAAAATATCGCCCCAGACACGATCGGGGACGGGGCCGCCGTCGGGCCCCGAGCCGGGCTTCTTATACAAATGAGGAACGGACCATCCTCCTCGTTCCTCCTCCTCCTCGCTCCTCCTCCTCCTCCTCCTCCTCCTCCTCCTCCTCCGCCTCCGCCTCCGCCTCCTCCTCCTCCTCCTCCTCCTCCTCCTCCTCCGTGCTCAGTGAGGGTCCTGGGGAAGGTGTCGGCGGGGTGCCGACAGGCTTCATGCATGAATGCGAAAGAGTCCGCGTCGTTCCCCGACGCCTGGGCAGACAGAGCAGCATCGACGACGTGCTGCTCCACTGCTCCACTCCGATCTTCAGCGGGGGGCCCACGAGGGCACTCCCAGGGGCGGTGGATGATGGTGTCTCGGGCTCCGCAATGGATGCAATCAGGGTCGATCAAGTGCCCCGGGGCCTCGGCCCTGGCGGCAGTCAGGATGGCCTCCGTAGACAACGCCCTGATCCTGGCCCTCTGGAGGGCCGTGAACTTTTCACGCCTGGAGGCGCCGCATCCTTGACGACGTTGTAACACAGGCGGGGGCCCAGCCCCCTCTTGTCCGCGGCGTCTCGCTCGAGCATCCTGCGGTGGCCCTTGCGGACTAAGGGCCCCGCTGTCGCAGGCGAAAGAATGCCGAAAGGGATGGGCCGACCGAAATCGTCGACGAGCGTCATAAAATCGGCCATGTGCCACCTCAGACGCACCGGAGACATCTCCGCGGCAGAGATCGGTCCAGCCGCTCTCTTCCGGCCGCAGCGGTCAGAGTTGCAAATGGCACGCCGCGCCTGTCTCAAAAGCGGCAATGGGATAGAGGGGCGGAAGGCCGACGTCTGACTAATCCATATTTCTTTAGTCCATCTTAGAATCGGGGCCGCGGCCGCCCGCCAGGTCGGATCGCCGTCAATGGTGGCGCGGGCGGTGAGGGGCTTCAGCTTGCTATGAGGCCGAACGGCGGAAAGCAAAAAACACGACGGCGCAGCAGGCTGAAGTCGTGATCGCTTGTTCCCGTGACCTCAGTGCCATATGAGGCCCCCGCGAAGGGCCCGGCCGAAAAAACCTTCAGCGCCGTGGATCTGCTGGTGGCCTCAGCCTTCCGCACGAAGCGCCTCGCTGCTCGACCAGCCTTCGCTAGATTCTAGATGAGCCTTCGTCCTGGCCGGCCTCCCAGCGGCGTAAACGGCTCGACCGGCCGTGTAGTCATTTCCAAGTGTGACTGTAGATTCGGAACAGTGGCGTCAGAGGTGGCTGAGTCGATCAAGGACCTGATTGCCCGCGTGTTTAGAATTCGAAACGACTGCGGTTTTTCCAGGGCAAACGAACGACCAAAAACGTCCCGCGCAACTAAATCAAGAGCGGTCACGCCAGCCACTATGGATGACGCAACAACCTATAGTCGGCCAGTGGCTGAGAGGCCATGGTCGTCTATGTAGACGTCCAGCGAGGCGGAGGGAGTGGGGGGAAGCTGTCATATCCTTCCAAACAATAGCGCGAATCGGCGCAGTGGCCATGGAGTAGCCCGCGATGACACCATTATTTCAGAAGTACGGCCCCTCCCACCATCGACATGAATTCATGGAACGACCGACGCGGTACGAGTGAAGACGCACTTTGGCGATGGCCAGCGGGAACCCGCGACGACGGCGCCGATCTTCCAGTTTCTTCGAGCAGATGTTTTCATAAAAAATTGGAAAGGTCGAAGGAGATGTTGCAGCTCGCCTCGCCGCGGGCCACTCCGTCCTCGGCCTTGACGGCCTGCCCCCAGACTGCGTCTGCCGCTCCGCGATGCTGGCCGACGGCCCAGTGCCCGCGGGGGTGCTTCAACTCCCAGTCCAGGGCATGGGGGCGCCCGCGGCGCCCCCGAGCCCTGAGCCAGGAGCAAAACGCACTCATGGGGCTGCGACCCCCAGTCGGCTTCGGAAGCAGCGCCAGGACAACGTCTTAGATCTGCGGCGGCAAGACCCCGAGCGCCTCGACGATGCAAAACATGGCGGCAAGGCAGTCGAGGCTGGCGTCCGAAAGCAGCGAGGAGTGCCAACGATGAAACCCGTCCACCAGCACAGCCGATGCACCCCTTTAAGTGAGCGGCGCATCCCGAATGTTCTGGGCGCTGAGGCGAGGGGGGGGGGGGGGGCGAGGTCCGAGCGGGCGCCTTCCCATTGGCCCCGACGTCGCGCAAACCGAGCCCCTCAGCTTTCAAGAGGGAAGGGGCGTCCGAAACCACGCGGCCCTCGGCCGAAAGAGCGCTGCTGGCCGCCCTGCGGTGACGGATCGCGAAGCAATGCGCGCGCGTCGCTCCCGACTGCGCCCCGACGTTCAGCCGAGCCTTCCAATCAGCTCGGGCCTCGGCCGAGAATTCCGCGTCGGCGGCCTCGCGCTCCCCGGTGTAGACATCGGCAAAAAGAGGCGGGCTGCGTCGAGGCCGAGGCCGCTGAGGCCGCCAGCTCGAGGGGGGGGGCAGACGTCCTCGGCGCACTTCATCGCGAGCGGCGGCTGTAGCAGTGGCGACTTCAAGCGCTCATCAGCGCTGGCCTTGCCATCTCGCAGCGCGCGAATAAAAGCCCGAAGCTGCTGACTGAGCCAGAGGCTGGCGCGGTGGGCAGCATGCCGGACCTGCGGGTCCTCGGCGAGAGCGGGGCGGCGGACCAGCTGAGGACCCGACCCTCGAGAGCCGAAGCGCGCGGGCGAAGGCCCAACCAGCGGCGCGAACTCACGCTCCGCTGTGTCAGCCCAACGCTGGCGAGGGCTACTCGGGAGCGACGCGGCTTCTTTCGGGCGGCCCTCGTCGATTAAACTGGGGGCCCAGTCGGCCGCGTCTGAACCTCTGGCCACTCCTGCGGGCGCGGGGGGGGGCCCGAAGACCGCCTCGGAGGGCAAGGGCGGGGGGCGCCTGAAAGACAGAGCTTTCAGGGCGGCCACGCGCCCATGAAACTGCAGCCCCGCAGGTCTGCGAGGGGAGAGCTCCGCATCAAGGCGCGCGCCGATCCGCTCGCTGGCCTTGCTGAGGCCGCCCGACACAACATAACAAAACAAACGTGGCCGCGGACCCCCCGGGGTGGTGGGTGGCCGCGTTTGGAGGGGAGAGCATCGCCTCGCCGCTCGAAGTTCGGACGCAAAGCTAGACTCTCCGAGCGCGGCGGGCCCCATGTTGAACCCCCCCTAACAACGCCCAGGGTTTGCCGGCCGTGGCGAGGCAGCGGCCGGTCGAGGTGAGCGTCTCAAGGTTGATCAGAAAGCCCTGCGGAGTGTTGAAGATACACGGGGGCCGCCAGCATCGGCGGAGCCCCAGGGAGCTCGGTGGAGTAGGCGATATCACGACCAGGGTTGATTAGCCCCTTCTCCACTTCAAGACAACCCATCCAGGAGCGCGCAAAGATGGCGGCGCCCTCCGAGGACCCCCCCCACCTCGGCGGCCGTAGCGGCCGACCGAAAATTGTTCCCACCGCGGCGGGGGCTCCAGGTGCTAGCCTGCTTAATCTTCTTTGCGGATCAGGCGGTGCTCTTGACAGGGCAGCGCATGCGCATCAGTCCCTTCGATCACGTTGCGCATTCTGCCCCGAGAATTGCAACTGATGCTCTGAATCCTGAGCTGCAACGGCGAGATGTGAGCAGGGCTGGAGGAGCTGGGTGCGTCAGCAGATGCCCGCGCGCTCTGAGACCAAGAACCGATCGCTCCGAGCAAAATGTGGCGACTGAGGGCGGCGCCGAGCGGCCCGGCGCGCCGGCGCCCCAGGCCCCCCGAGGCCGCTGCCAAGAACCAAGATCCGACTCGGCCTGCCGCGCCAACGTGGGATTAAACACGAAGTGTTGCAGGTAACAATTGTCGGTGCGTTGGCGGCGGGGGGGCCAAGTGGTCTCATCCCCTGGCCAAGCCAATGGGGGGCCGATGTCGGCCTTATCCCACCAGCTCATGGCATTAGGGGGGACAGTCCGTCCTTATCCCGCGCCGTGGATTCTCCCAGATATTCCTGACCAAATGTGCCCAGGTAGCTCCCTAAGTTTCCTCCCATCCTGTTGGCCGCACAGGCCTAATTAAAGCAGCTGTGAATGCATCTTGGGCCCTCATGGGCCGACCTTGTGCAGCACTTTTGGGAATGATCTTGTGGCCCCTCGAAGGTTCTCTCAGATGCTTCGGTATTGTAGCATCAGTGGAACTGGTAGCAGCACGTTTTGCTTCATTTCTCACTCTGGCTTCTTCCACTACGTGTCATTGCAATTGCAATTTCAAGTTCAAGCGAAGTTGCGAACTTCCGTCCGAGGGGTTGCCAGGGCTGCAGTCCGCCTTAGCGCTGGCGAAAAGAATGTGGTACAGGCTTCACTTCGTCTGCGCGCCCTTCGTCCTCCTCCCTCCTTCCCCCTCCCCCCCTCCCTTTCCTGGGGGGGGGGGGGGGTGGCGCTGCCGCCAGCGGAGACGACAGCCGCCGGCGGGCGCAAAACCAGCTTCCGAAGGGCTGCCTTCGGCAGCGGTTCTCTTGGACACTATCGAAAAGATCCGGTGCAAGCTATGTTATGTTTTCCCCCTCGTGGGCGGGATCCCCAACAGTGTTCTCCTAAACACTGGCGAAGACTGGGTGGTGCAAGCTATGGTGTCTATCTGAATCCCCTGTGAAAGGGGATCCCGCTAAAGGTCTTGCACAAGTTCTCGCTCGTCATGTGTATGGTCATCATCCCCATATGTCCCAATTCCCGTCCCATCTTCGTCCCGCTATCCTCTTCTGCTTTGCGCTGGAGTGCCGGCAATTTGCCTAGTGGCCGAGTTTCTCGTCCGCATGCGTGCACGATGCCTCAGAGGGCGCACGCAATATATGCGTGGCGATTCGGCTCAGCAGGAGGGGGTAGAAGTGGGCAGTACCTCACGATGCTTCGGAAGGTACGCCCACGCGAAGATTTGAGGGCCCTGGCCGGTCTAAAGAGACACAGGGGCAATGGCGGGCCAGGGAGCGGCACGGCATCTGGGTCGGCGACGGTATCTTCGACTTCGGGGGGGTCAAGGAGAGCGGCATCAGCCAACCCTCAGGGACCACAGGCGTCCCTCGAGTTGGTCGCAAACGAAGGGCGCACAGGCGCAGGCGATGCACCTGAGTCACAACCATCAGTGCCGGCCGAAGCGGTCGCGACGGCCGGTGTGGGGTGGCCAGCCCTCCGCCGTGATGCACCTGCACGTGCGCCATGCAGCAGGGGGAAGATGCCCCAACTAGATTCTGACGCTGCCCGCGAGCGGGCCCTGCAATCTCTGGATAAAGACGTCTGCGCCGCTTCCGCCGGCCCGACGGTAGCGGCCCGCCTCCGCTCCGTCGAGGCAATGCCCCGCCAATGGGGTATGGAGCCGTGGCCCCTCACAGCGGACAAGTTGCGTGCTCTTGGGACGACGCTGAAGGCAGGCAAGTATCGATCGGCATCCATGTACTTATCGGCGTACTGGGTGGAAGCTGAGCGTCGAGGTTGCCACCTCACGGGCACTATGGTGCAGGTGCTTAAGGACGCCACGCGGTCGTGTAATCGAGGCCTTGGGCCGCCTGTCCAAGCGTTGCCGTTCACTTTCGCGGACTTCCGGAATTTACCGGGCAGCGATGATCCCTGGGTCAGAAACGGGCCGGTCGGCCCACGGAACTGCCTTGTAGGGGGCGTGTGGTGGCTTGCCCGGGAGGTGGAGCTCAGCGCGGCCCGCGCTTGCTTGGTGCGCTTTGTGGGTGACGGGGCAGAAATGGTCGCATCATGGCGTCTGCCGGCATCCAAGAACGACCCGTCTGCACTCGGCGCAACCCGGTCCCACGGGTGCTGTTGCGACGAGCCTCTGGGCGCGGATCTGTGTCCCGCCCACACCTTGCAGGCACGAATGGTCCTGTTGAGGCGGTTGTTCCCGCTGCGGTTCTCGCCGGATGGGTCTCCAGACGACGACCTTCCGTTGTTTCCCACGAGCGAGGGCCGCGTTTGCACCAAGGACGCCATGGTCGCGCACATCGCCGCGGCCGCGGACCTCCTCCATCTGCGTGAGGCTGGGGCAGACGGTGTGCATCGGTGGACTGGCCATTCACTGCGCGTCACAGGCGCGCGATTCCTGGCCGGCGCGGGGCTTGACGCGCGGGCGATGCAGCTCCTCGGAAGATGGGGGTCCGACGCCGTCCTGGGGTACATCCGGGACGCCCCGCTGGCATGGTCGAACACGTGGGCACGGCAAGCTGCGCGTGGTCGGTCACTGGAGGAATTGGAGGAGTC